AAATTGTAGAAGAAATAAAATGTTTCTTTAAAAATGAAACTGTTCGCTGTCAACATGATCGGATATATTTGTATTTAAGGGAAAATCAATTGATGAAAAGAATGTGTAGCTTCTTTATACTGTTTGGTCTTTTTCACCCCTTCCACAAACATTGCTGAATTCTGCTCTAATTGAGCTTGTAAGAGTAGAAAATATAGATTTACCATTATTGTAAAGCAATGCATCTTTATGAATAATAAATCCCTCATGAAAAATGTGAATCGTCTATGTGTCGCTGATCCAGATTTATGATTTCCTCGGTTTTTCACATAATTAAATTGTGACGGGTTGCAGTTTTGACCTGATAAAAGCCCCACTTCTCTCACGGTAACGACTTCTTAATGGAAGGTAACGGAAGAAACAAATGGTTTTGAGTGGTACTGTGGTATGTCCGCTTTATAATTGCTATAAATTCACCTGTGTGCTGTCAGCAGACTGTGTCAACGGACCATTGTGGTGTTGGAAGCACTGGTTGCAGCAACATGATACATTGCGGTAAGATAACGGTATGTAAACTTTATTGTTGTACTGTTATCTGTCATTACTTAACTGTATCCAGGTGTTTGATAAGTGGCCCGGCTTGACTTTCTATCGACATAAAGCCATAATTGAATGGATGTTCTATGCATTATGTATCAACGATTTGTAGTTGTGCTTCCTGATTGGCGAGTATCGATTGATGTGGAGTGTGCTCACAATGTGGGTGTGTGCATGGTGATGAGAGGCACTCAAGCTCACGGGGAAGGGGGGTTCACAGTTGCAGATGCCACCGATCCCACTGTTGGATATGTAACCAGTACAGACAGGTAATCTTAAAAAGTAAAATATTTGGCAGAATGAATTCATGAATATGTGTTTTGTTCATTTACAACTTTAGTATACAGGCACATTTATTGCACGATTCTTTAACTTGGGTGTTGCAGTGATGATGTATTGCTGTCTGTCTTTAGTCAGGTTATTTAGGTTGTTATGATACCATTATTAAGGCATGTGCTTTTGCATGTGTGTCTCACTCTATATTGTCTCCACTTTGCTCTGCATAAGATGACAGCTCATTTAAAGCTTCCTGTGAATAATCAAGATGGCATCGAGCTCCAGACAGTAGAGGACCAGGGGACTGATGGTAGGTTGTTGTATATTCCATGTCTGATCAGGCTAAATACTGCTCAGATGAAGTTATTGTTAGTCACAACTACAATGAAACTGCAGTGTGATTGATGTATGTGGTGCATGCCAAATGTTAGTGGAGTATATTTTCACACGATATATTTCCCTCCTGCCCGATTCAGTCCAGGAAACTAGATCCAAATAAAAGCTTCCAAATCAATAATCTGTCTTCGCTGAAGTTTTATTGAGCAAGCCTCCTCCATTATACACTTCGGGTCTCACCTCCCTGACATACTGCATGTTAATGGTGCTCTGAATTATTAAAACTGCCTCATAGAGGATCTGAAAAACTTATCTACCAGAGATTGGACTGAGTGCTGACTGAATTTATATGATTTTGTTCCAAAAACATTACTGTTATTATTTTGTTTTTTTTTATCATTATTTCAAAGGCAGCATCCCCAGGCTAGTGATGGACAATCCACCTAGAAAGATGACAGGCAAGCTGCTCAGTGGGGTATGCAGACTGAGCACCATATCAGAGCAAGAACCGGACAAGCTGGACACCGATCCCAGTTCCCATGATCCCCCGGGTGGCAGTGAGTGGGGTGGATCCAGCCTCTCCATGTGTTCTGACAAGTTTAAGAGCAGCAGCAGCAGTGTTTTTTCCTCTGATGATTCACACCAGTCTGCAAGTGGAGGTATTGTTTAAACTCCTTAAATTGATCAAATTGAGATGCAATGGATCTGTAGTGTTATTGACAAGATAATGAATGGTGTATAGTTGATATCTGGTCAGAGGTGCACTGGATGACTCTTTTAACAGGGTGTGATTTCTTACTACCTTTTCCTCTTTTTGATTTTCTCTTCTATTACTCTACCTCTTCACTTCCACCAGATGAATGTGCAGCACTTCTTCTTGCCTGTCTGCATTGTCGTTTTCACGAATTTACGGATCTCCTGTTGGATACATGTGAGAGGGCTGTGAGTCGCTGTTTTCCCTCGTACAAATACATCACGGAGTCCAGTGACCAGCAGGGACAGGACTGCTGCAATTACACGCTGGAACTGGAGTGCAACTGTTGTGGCTCCTGCCAGGACACAGGAGAACTTATAGAGCTGGCCATGGAGATGTCAGAGGTCTGCTATCGCTGAGAAGTTCCTCACCTCTGGCCTGCAAACACAATGAAAAATCACAAACATTATGAATGTTGAAATCTTGAATGCTAAACAAACAGTGTTACTGTCTCATCTTATTCAAATCTATGCCTGCATTATTAAGAGTTTTTTATAGCAGCCTCATGTGGAAACTCACATGATCTGAGGCTTGTGTGCTTCAAGCAGGTAACTACTGCCACCCTGTGAAACAGTGCAGAGTTGGTTGTCACAACGAAAGATGAAAATAGCTAATTTGTTGTTAAAGCCACACTCGGCCCACTGAGCAAAGTAATCAAATGCAAACATCCTGTCCTGTCAGAGTGGAAGGAAGGGCAGGAGAGTGTGTGTGTTGAGCCATTTCCACGTCCTCTTCACTGACATCCTGTACGTTTCCGGTGGCTCTCCATACAGCATGACTGAGTGGGCTGGAGTCATTCAGGATGCCTGGGGTCTGGGAGCATGCTTTCAAACAACAACTCCAGACATTCACAAGTTACAAACTGAGTTTAATCTGGTACAAGTGATCAGAACATGGATTCGACAACAAGGGGAAGTTATCAGATGGTAAAATGTAAGTGAATGGAAATGGATTCATGCATTAAAACTTTTCCTTTTGTAATTTATTGTAAGACATTTTTCTGTATTATCTGATATTAATTGGTTTATGTGTTCAATGCCATTCCAAATTAATGTGATTAGAATCTTACACAAATTAAGTACATTTTTTGGCAGATTAATAGCATGCTCACTTTTTCTCAAAATATGTTTTAATTTATAATTTGTTCAGGTTCGTTGGTCACATGGTTATACGTCAATTGGTATCCTCCATTGACTGGGGGAGGTAAAGTACCTTTCTATTTTGGCTGCTGTCACTCACATGTGAAACATGTGCATCACAAAACACTCCCCTACCGCTGCAGAGACCAGCACAGATGCAACTTGGTCATGCATTCCAAATACAATTGGTTATGTTGGTGGGTGAGAAGCTAGATGGGGATACTGTCCTAGCAGCTCTTACAGGCTGGTTGGGGTGCCTGCTTTGAGCGTATCTGGAGGATATCATTGACCTTTTAATGTGTAACACCATGTTACACTTCCCTTCTATTGTCAGCTTTGTAACCAGTGTAGCACAATTACAGCACAGCACAAGATTTTTCTCACTTGAACCGAATCGGTGTTATTGACGGGTTTTCTGGCTAAAGCAATGTGCTTTCCTCTGCTCTGACAAGTGTGTGGATGAAGCATTCAGATGTTCAATTTTACTCACTTAGCAGGCTTGGTTGGTTAGCTAGCTAGCCTGCAAATGTCACCATGCTTTCATGCTACAGTTGTACAGAACATAAAAAGCACTGCATGAACTGCTAGGCCAGACATTACCATTTTAAATGATCGTTTGGTTTAAATTACCTTGTCAATATTGTCAAATAATGCTAATCGCTAGCATGGGTGGTGGGGGGTGGCTGCGACAAAAGCTGCCTCCTGATCAGCCAATAGCTAAATTCTGTTGCTGTGACCAGGTTTCAACCAGTACAGGGCGGTCGCTACATGCACAATTTGAGGATTCAAATATTTTTCACTAAAATGTAATTATGACCTTATACCATCAACACCACAACTAACAACAACTGGGGGGGTTTAGTGACTCTTTAAAGTGAAATCCAGCTGATGTTAAAGGTGCTAATTATTGCATAATCATTGCAGATTGCAGATCAAGCGAGTGATTTTCCTGATGGTCTTGCATGTGGTAGCCGATAAACAGCAACCAAGTGTGAACGTTGAAAGTTTTCCATGTCTGCCATGATCTTGATGAGCTCTGGGAGGAGCCACAGGCTCACCTGTGATGTCTGGAGTCAACGAGACACAGGTGAACCGAATCCACCCTGAATCAGTGCTCTGATAACCTGGAAGAGAAAACATTGCTCTGTTTGCTCAGCCCCCAGCCGGCCCCGCGCTGCCTTATATTTGTTAACTGCTTTCAAAGGGGAATTATTCTTAAAAGTGGCAATTCATGAGATTTCAGTCCTGGTTGATTTATAATTTCAATTTGAGTGAAAACAACGGAATCAGGCTCAGAGTTTAGCAGTCTGCAGTCCTTTTGTTGATACACAAGCTTCAAGTTTTCAGAAATGTGTGCATAGTTCCTTTTTTGTGTGTGTACAATGGAGAAAAAACATATACTGCATTGTTTGCAATACAAATATTGCAAATCTTTCATCAGTGGGCCATAGGCTCAATCACCTGTATGTTACCTCCTTCAGTGTTATTTTAAATGACGATTGTCCACTGCGAAATTCCACTTTGAGGTTTAACAGTTTGATAATGCCATGTGTTTAGTTCCGTTTAGGATTAATTCCAGTGTTCAACTGATGTATTGTTTGTGTTTAAATATAATCTATCTTTGCTCAGAGCCAATAAGGAGATTAATCTTTACGTGTTTAAGATGGGTAACTGCATGGAACAATGTCATACATCTTTCTCTGTTTGTGTAATTAATACGGACCCACCACTTGACAAAGTTAAAGGGGAAGTTCGTGTCAAAATAAAGTCTCTTTTCGGGGGAATCTGCTGGCTCGCTCACCCTAACTCCGGTGCAAGCATCCATGTTGTGACAAAAATGTATTTGTCAACATATATATAACTCCTCTTAGTGGAGGCTGCAGTATTAACAGATAATGAATGTCTATGTAGTAAAATAGAGTTGTAACAATGTCTTCATACGAGAAATTGTAATTGTGGAGAAATTATTAAAAAACACTTAGCATATCCATATATAATATATCTATCCATATGACTACATTATAGTGTTTTATAAACTTTTATTAAATGGTTGTACACTGCTTATAACTATTAAATAGGGAGGCCTAAAGTGAACCTTATTAATAAATATCTGGATATTTGGAAAAAAGAGTTAGCAGATTTAGATTATCAAGAAAAACACAAACTCTACAAACATTCAAATAAAACTTTTAATATTTCTCACAAGATAGTTTCCACATTGAGTACCAATGAGTTTGAGTTCACTAACTCTGAAACCAATGTGTACAGTAACTATTGCTACATTCATTTCATATAAGCTGTAACAATAAGAACAGTAGCAACATCAGCAGAAAACATTGTCTGTATAAACCACAGGAATGAGACTAAGCAGAAGAGATCTAAACTGAGCTAACATGGTTCTTCATTAGTGGTTTACCCATAATGTGCCATAATAATGAATAGCTGGAAGATCCATTAAGAGGAATCGGTCATAGTGATGGCTTTAAATGATGTGCCACCACCATCAGGTTCATTCTAACCTGTCACATTTCAGGGGTTCAGATGATTCATGTTCCATTACAAAATAAAGCTTATTTGGGTTCAGTCAAAGGGCAATGTTACCTGTGTCTATTGCACAATTAATTAAGGCTCAGTAGCTGGCATTGGTGTAACCATGAAGGCCATTCAGCAGTCCACTCTATTGTAATTCACCCATGGCAAAAACAAAAGAAAATCAACTCAAGGTCCACTTACTAGCTTGTTCTAGGCTTTCAAACACATCGACAGGAGTTTCACACTATTTCACAGTCATGTGACGACAGCTGAGCTTTCTCCATCTGCTGATGAAGACTGTGGGATGCAGTTGAAAGCTCCAGAAAAGCAATTATTAAGTATATCTTCAGTTTTTTCTTTCTTTCAAACTACTGTTTCCAAAGATGGGAATTAACTTCTGCAAAGGCCTGATTGAAATCATATTTTAGGTATTGCTTGTCATTACGGAAGATAAACATCACTAACAGGTGGATCAGCTAAGCTGTTAAAAAAACTGCTGTTTATACCTTTTAAATAAACGTATTATGCATCTAATTTTGGCAACGCATTTTGGCAGTCATCACATTGAACTACATTCACACTAGTCTCAAACGGATATTGAATATTCAGCACAACTTTGGAAACATCCCCTTCAGTGTAGAGTTTGACCTTAATAAACATAAAACAACATGAACAACCACGCCAATGTGTTCAATATTAAATACATAAAATACATAGAGACATTATGAATTAAATAATCATATGAATAAACAAGTAAAATAATACAAGATTTGGAGGCTATAGCCATGCTAGCGGCTCTGTGAGGCACAGGACATTTCAATGACAGCCAGAAATGTCAACCTGCTGGTGGTGCTAGATGAAAGGTCAGAGGATCACCCTAATAATTAGGATTCATCCACTGGGCACCATGCATTTCTGTACAAAAAGTCATGGCAGTCCATCTAACTGTTGTTATATTTCCGCTAGTGAAATCATTTTACAACTTATCAAAACTCAGCTCACTATAAAAGGTTGCTTCATCATTCTTATTTTCATAGCATTGCACTTTCCCCAATGACACTTCTTTTAGTTTTTTTAAATGTTATCACATGACCCTCTCAGCAGGAACAACTGCCTGCTGGCTAGGTAGCTCCTGTTGCTTATCACAAACACACACACACATTGATGCTTTTGCTCTTCATAATAATGTTTCTTTCTCTGAAAAATAACTGCCACGGTAACTCTGAAAGAATGAGTTAGATGCTACTGTTAACACTGGCTCCATACAATCAAAGGTCACAAGCCGACCTAGCTAGTTAGCTGGGTAGCATTGGTAGCCATGTTGTGCTAAAGTAAAGCAGCAGTTTGTTACTTTGTCCGTTGCTACAGCCTCTAGTGTTAGCTTTAGCATTGTGGTTGCTCTAGCTAACAGGAGCTTGTGGCTGTTGCCCAGTCTGTACAGAGAGGATCCAGTGACTGCCTGTAAGTGTGAAGGGGTGGTGACAATCTTGAAATAAAAGTGTCATTGGGGATTATGCCATTATTACGCAAGAAAAAGGGCACTTTAAAAATAAAAAAATTCTGTACAGACTTAAATAAATAAAACACTTCATATGAAAACAATAATAATGAAATAACATTTATTATTGATTATGGTTTGAAATAATATATTCAATTATTTCAGAATTCACTTTATGAATTTGACTGTATTTACCCTTATGATAATTTATTTCATAATGCCTTAATTCAGTACTGAACACTTTGGGGTTTCATCATAACAAACCACTTCTTGTGGCTCGAGTCCGAGAGGGTAGTGTAATCTTGTACCGATTAACGGCCCTTTCCTACTGCTTTCTGAAGTACTTTGGCACTCTTCAGCTAATACATGAAGCACCAAACACCAGTATAAACATCAACAACATTTTTGCATCACTCTTTTAACTCCACTAACATCACCAGGGTAACAGAAAGGACTGTAAGGCACTTAAATCAATTAAAAAGAGAATTACTTTGACACTGTTTTAGGCTAATTCCTAAGGACATCACATTGTCGAGACATGATGCCGCTCTGCAGGCACAACATCAACCATTGCATAGTTTAACAAAATGGAGGTTGTGCTGTAACAGGGCTCTCAATGTATGGCAGATAGTTATAAACAAAGGCATACTGATGCAATGTGCTACAACTGTTGAAAACAAACTGCTGAAATATACAACAACCATACACGCCATAAAGAATCTACAATCTCATACAATATTCTGTATGCGTTTGAAAAGGCAAATACAATAGTTTATGCTTTGATAAAAAAAAAGGTGAACAAACCACGTTTCAAATTATAGAGGTCATTTCAGTGTTTTGACAATGTCATGCATGTCATACAAAATCCCAAAGCAGTCTCCTTTTACTCCTTGGAAATATAAATGTTCACATAATGGAGGAAAAAAAAACATCCTGGTTGTGAAATGTCACCACAGTGGTGTAAAAAAACAAAAAAAATTATAATAATAATTTAGGAAATGGACAATTATATAAAAACTCAGCACTTGCATCCACACATGTCTGAGTCTGCTGAAATAGTAGCAATTTACCAGTTCTGATCACTACAGACAAGAATACAATAAAAACGTAACTGATTCATCTTCATCTTTACGTAACAATCGGATCTATCAAGCAGAATCAGCTTATTGTGCGGGTGTCAGGGCCACAACAGGCTTTTTCTTTTTGATTTGAACTACAATTCTGCTAGTTTTGAGACTGCATTTTAAAAACAAAGTATATATTTATGTGGTTTTGGCAGTGAAGAATGATTATTGATAAAATATCTGGCACACGCTACTGAGCAGTCAGCACTGGATGGCTATAGGATGCATCAGTGTGTTGAAACTTGACTTGTTGTGTAGCTTCTTGCTCATTATGACACTGAATTAAAGATTACAATCAGCCATTATCAAGGCTGATTCTGTTCGTTTTAATTATCCTAAAGGAGACTTATTAGCTTCCTATTCTTAATGTGCTTTGATTTCTTATCTCAGTCGTTTCAAAGAGGCTCTTTTAAATGCCTTGTTATAAATACATTTTTGGGGAATGTGTACATAACAGATACATAAATAAGATCAAATCTACAAATGATTAATATTCATCAAGGAATACATTTCAACTGGAAGACTGACAAAGACTTAACAGCCAAAGAATGTGCATAGCAATACAACATTGATGTATACACATCTTAATAAGGCATTGGCACATTCAAGTTCAATCTAAGACACAAGGAGTGTAAAGCACTATAGTAATAAATAGATTTTTCTTTCTCCTATTATTGCTAGAGATTTAAAAAGCAGTGTTCATCTAAACAAAAAATATCTACATTTTCTGACCGTGATTTATAACTTCCCTAGATTCTTTGGAATCAATAGAAATAAACACAATCTAGCCTCTATTCAAAGTTGACTGCATGTTTTTTTTAAATATAAAAACGTTTTCTTGCAACCCATTGTCATCAAAGTATTGATTAAAGCAAACACACTTTAGAATCAGTCCTTGAAATCAAGGTTGAAGGCTTGAAAAGGCAAAGATATCACAAAAAAATAATAATACGAATGGAAAAGATTCAATACATGTAAACATGGGTGGGGGAGAAAAAAAACACAACAAAACAAATGACACAAACAGGAGAAAGCCTCTCGAGCAGCTGGGAGTGTGTTAGCTGCTGACAGGGACACTTGCAGCAGGGTGGAGATGCAGGCGAGGTGTCGTCCAGTAGGGGCTGCTAACAGCACTCATCATTCTCATCCATGCTTACGCTGCTCTTGCGACTGCTGTCCTTTGAGGTGTCTGGGGAGAGGGACGAGAGCAAAGGGTCCCCCCCTCTCACCGGGGATAGGTTGTCTTGGGATAGGGTGTCTTCCATGAGGATGTCGTTGAGTTTGGAGCCCGGCTTGCCGTGAATGCTGTAGTGACCCTCTGGGAAGTTGGAGTGGGCTTCGTTGAGCTCCAGGGCGCCGGGCGGTTCTGGAGTGCAGGCCGGGTGGTGTTGGTGATGGGGGTGGAGCGTGTACAGGTCCTGGCGACAGTCCTCCAGAGCGGTCTCGTGCTTTATGGACCGGGGCGCAAGGTCAGCAGAGCAGAGCGCTGAAGACGTGATGACCAGACCGTGAGCCCGGGCCTGCATCTCTAACTCCTGCAAAAGAGAAAGACACACTTTTAGGTTTGTCAGTGAAGAGTTTCACTCCCTGCCATAATATCTATCACAGACTTCTACTCTTGTTCACTTTCCCCCGACTTGAAAAAAAAAACCACAGGTTTTCTTTTGTCCCCTGATAGCGCTTCTCTAAATAATTACCGCGACACAAATGCAGTGTGATCACTCAATCAATGTCCGCTGAGCCGAATCACACAGATCCTGACTCCTCTTGTCTTGTGACTAATTAGTTACATGGTGGATCCAAACAGCCGCCTCCCTGCTCAGTGCGTGGCCTGTGCTCGGTGAATTAGCTGCTCTGCTCGTTTTCCCTGAAGCTTGACCTATTTTTATAAAGTGTTATGATTTGTTCTGACGATAGCGGAGGGAAATCGCTAATACCGACAATCCAGTCTCTTTTACACTTTGTACACATGAAACATGCTGTAGTGTTTCTTTTAATTTCATTATCAGATGCTAATAAAACAACTTTGCAACTCTAGGATGGTTATGATGCAAGTCAACAACTCTGTGAATGTACCTTCGAATCACTAGATGTCGTGAAAGTTGCTCTTTACCTGTATCCTCAACATCAGATGTCGATTGGCATGCTCGAGCTTCTTCTGGCGACTGTCCAGCTCCTTGGCCCTCAGCTGCTCCCGCTGTAGTTTCCTGATGTAGTCCACCGATGCCTTCAGGATTGTGCCTTTGTTCCAGCGCATGTCCCTGAAAATCACAGAGGAGCTATTATTTGTACATCCTACGTGCAGTCTCGTTGTTCCTATAGATTTGATGTCAGACAATCCGCAAAACTCCATCTCTACTCACAAAACAAAACAGATGATAGCTTTCTTTTATCAGACGATAATAGGCCGCTCGCTTGCATTTAGCTCTGTTCAGTTGGAAAAACAAGAGACAGACGAGGATAATGAGGGGAAGTAGAGCTGCTCCGGAGGTCACAGAGGTGACCGGCAGTTAAAGAAAGTCTGAGTTCTCTGCAGAACTGAATGCTCCATCGTTAATGTGTACAGGGGAGGTCACTGCGATCACAAGCAGTCATAAGGATGGCCCCGAGCTCCCTGAACCATCGAAGGTTGCAGTGGAAGTTTTGCAGGGGTGAAATCGATCTTCACTAAACATAACTGGAAAAATCTGCATTATAGATCCAACGATTACGCTGAGAGGTGTTTCAGGCTTGAATTAGTCAGAAGCCTTGGGGGCCGATAGATGTTTTTGTTTTATAACTGTATTGCTGAATTCAAATTTGAAGTGATGAATCAATAATAGTATTGAAGATTTCTAATGCTAACAAGCACAGGTACTGTAAGTTTTGTTATTCCTGAAGTGTCATCTACAATAAAAACTATGTTAAGCCAGGTCTGTTTGTAAAAGGCAGTCTCTGAGCTTGTGTCTATCTAGGTTTATGTGCGGGTGGAGCACTCAGCCGGGGTTTAGCAAAACAACCATGGGTGCACAGACATAACAAAAGGGGCTGCTGGGATCTTCCCAGAGCCACAGGCGAGGTCAAAGGCCAGAGGAAGAGAAGAGTGAGCTTGAAGCGGTGCTTCTAACCTCGAAAGTGTCAATACATACAGAAAGAAAAGATGAATATACCCGTAATCTGACCGATCACATGATGACTCAATAAAATAAGATTATCCTTTATTAGTCCCACATTTGGACATTTGCAATCTGTGTGTAACTGAGATTTTGTATTAAATATACTCGCATGCAATATGTAAGAGATGGGGATCACATCAATCATGAGGATTTAACAGGGAGGTAAATACATGGTAAAAAAATGTCCTCTTGTCGTCAAGGAGCGTGACTAACTTTGTCTTGAATAAGAAATAATGTTAAATAAAAAGAGAAAGTGAATAATATAAGTAACTCACGGGTCATTCGATTTGGGAATTAAAGTTCCCAGTTCCTTGATTCGATCATTGATGTTAAACCGTCGTCTTCTCTCAACTACAGAAGAAAATGCAGAAAAGAACCCATGATTAGTTGACGAAACCGCATCTGAAATGATTTTTATAGAGTAACAAAGAAGATGACATTATGGTTAAGTATTTACATTTACAAATTTACAGAGTATATATATATATATATATATATATATATATCAATTAAGATAAATAAAAATGCAATTAAAACTCACTCAAATTATGGTTATCTTTCTTCTGCCTTTCCTTTGCCATTGCTCTTACTTCAGCTTTTGGAAAAGAAAAAAATGTTTTGATTCATCAATATAAATGCAAATCTCAAAAATGATCTTGAAGCTAATCAACCATACGTACCCACAGGGAACCCTTCAGGCCTTTGATAGTTGCCGCAGGATCCAGACTTATCCAGCATGTGCATGATGGCCGGGGATTGTGACACTGATAAATAATGTTTTCATTATGAAATTATGCCTGGAGAGTTATGCTTCGTATATAATGTTTCCATGCAATAGAGAAGCTGAATGGACATTACGTGTTTATTTTCACAGCTCACAGATCTGTAAACATTTCATATATTTTGATGACAGAAGCCAGGCGTTGAAGCGTTTGTACGTCTCTTGCCGCATTGCTTACCAGAGTATTCCCTTTTGAGGTTGGCAGGGCAGGAGTTGCTGATGGGCAGACCTTGCTGGGACATACCTTGATTACCATACATGTCCATGAGGTTAGCATTCACGGGGATCTGAGGGGACACGGCAGAGACATTAAGCAGAGATCACCCTCCCCTGTATAGATGCTAATCAGCATCACAAGATGAGCATCATAGGTAGGGTGGTGACAAAAGTTTACACACATGGTATATGTAAATAATCATGATGTCACTGTTGAAGGAATACTGCTACATTTTGGGAAATTTGCTGCCTTGATTCAATGCTTAGAGTAAGATGAGAAGATCGATACCACTCTCATGTAAGGCTAATTTGTTTTTTCTTTAGTTTTCCACACCAAATGAGACGCCCTCATGTGGCGAACCTTTAAAAAAGTGAAATGCATGCACACCCACTTACCGTGTTAGCCATCTGGAGTCCTGGGTCCATCAAGCCCAGGATATCATCACTGTAACTGGACTCCAGACTAATGATGTCATCAATGACATCATCCATCTAAAACAAGACGGCGTAGAGAAAAGGCCGATTAAGTGAGTGAAAGTCACATAATTCCATGTGTTATTGTGAGAAAAACACAACGAGTCACAAGCGGTCACCTCTTTCTCACAGTTGGAGTTCAGGGTCAGTAAGGCCATAGGGCTGTTGGGGGCGCTGTTGCCCAGCCCTGGCGGCATGCCCCCGTAGTCAGAGGACTGGTTGTGGCAGGGCAAGCTCAACACCTGAGAGCCAAGCTTTCCCAGGTACCGCTTCACCTGCTGCTGCTGGGAGTGCTGGATGTGGTACTTGGTTGGGTTCTCCAGATGGGTCTGGACCTGTTGGTGGGAGGAGAGAAGGGGAAAGGGCAAGAGAGCAGAGTAGGGAGGTGGTTGATGGTTACAGATGCAACATGGGAAATAAATCATAAATGTTCATTTCATATAATCCTCCTTTAAACTACAGCTATACTATTCTTGTGGTCTTTTATTAGATTAAAAAGATGATTTTTTTTAGATAAATGTACACAGATTAAGACTAGAGACTAAATATACCTCAAAGCCTGTCCTAGTATTGCACTGTACTGACTACAATATAAAAATAAACTCGGCACAGTGTTCAAAACAGACGATGAATTATGCGTTTCTCTTGAGACGCTGTCAGGTGTTGTTATCTAAAAGAGTCTCAGTAGAAAAGTTATTTCTACATATTTTCTTCAGCGACGACGTTCTGCTTTTCTGCGTTTATAGTCCACATATTTTTAAGGAACAAAAATGACACGCACACACATCTCTGCACTCCCCCGGTTATGGACACATTTGATTTCATTAATCCTCACGCAGCGTTAATGATCCAGAAAAGCTACAGCAGGCACATAAACGAACCTCAGAGACAGTGTTCGTCAGGCTGTGACACATTTTAGATTGAGCAGTGCTGCTGCATTCCAGCTCACATTTAGAGTCTACATTTAATCTCATTTCTTGACAAATTCTGTGGTTTATGACATAACGACACATCAGATAGTTCATGAGTAAATGTAGATACATGACACATGTACTAGTTATTACAAACTGTGATGGCTTTAAGATAAACAAAAATAGCCCGAAAAAAACATACCTCATACGGTTGGTATCCAAGCAGCTCAAGCATCATTTACCGTAAATGAAAACTAAATGTAAACTGACCGGTCCAATTAAAAAACCAAACCTACACTTCTGTGCTGAACTTCTAAACTGAGGAGTGCTGTAGCTGCGTGCGTCTTGCTTGTACTAGAAGACTAAGCCTGCTAAGGACAGACACACATCCAGCTCATCTTTTAAAAGGCAAGAAAAGTAATTAGTTATGCACATCAGGGAAGTACAATGAGCTTCTTCAAATTTGTGTTGTTTTATGTAAAATCTGAATTTATCACTTGATATCAGGATGTGCTGCTAACAGTCAGTATCTTTGTTTTGCAAGGCCACCTCTTTTACTGAAACTTGCCTCGGGCTGTTGCTTTGCCGCATCCACTTTTTTTTTTTTAACCCTGTGGATGCATGGCGTGAGTCCCCAGCTCAAAACGGCCCAAAGAATACAGTCTCCATCCCTATATATCCACGGTTTGCCTCTCATCTCGTTGTAAAATCAGCAACAACATGCATACTGCGTCTAAAAACTAACGAAAAACAGCCTTCGTTACTTCATTTTATACAAGTGTGTATCGTGTTTTTAAAGATCAGAGTGTATGGCTTTTAACAAAGCGGAAGAGGTCACAGGCTGCAGACAAACTCAAAGCTGGTGTTTCCACTGCTTCTGTAAAAAAAAAAAAACCTGTAGTCTGCACACTACATGTAATGAGTATTTAGAAACCTAATCCAGATGGATTATACTTAAGTCGTAAATGAGCAATCCAGCTAAACAAACAATGACTAATGTACTATATACTATAAGGTGACTGAATACAGGTTGGGTTGAATCTGACTATTTTGTTATCACTTTTTTTTTTTTAACGATTTTAATTTCTCTCTCTTATGTGTTTTAGGTCTGTTGATGTTTTCGATTAATCCGTCAATTCTCTTTTCAATTACCTGATTATTTGTTTAATCCATAAAATGTCAGTAAATAGTAAAAGTTGACATATTCAAATTTCTTGTTTTTTGTCCGACCGACAGTCCAAACCCCGTAGATATTGCGATTAATATCAAAGAAGTTAAGGAAAAGCAGCAAATATTCATGTTAGAGAAGCTGGACGCAGGGATGTTTAGCATTTCTCTCATTTGTTCTCATTAGCATTTTGATTAATTACATTGCTTTAACGATTAACTGATAATTAAAATAGATGCTTTATCAATTGTCTCTCAGTCTAGTAGTCGTTTCAGCTCTTGAAGGTGATATATATACACAAAACAGCTCTGAACATGGTGACAGACGGCAGCTTGTAGCTAACGGTGCTAACAGCACTAACAGTGCGAAAGTGTTCACCTGAGGGGGAGCCAGAGGCTGGGAGTTACGCTTCTATCGGTCGGGACAGCTGTAGCCGCCTTATCAGAGCAGTACAGAGCAGCGGCCGTGAGCTAGCCGATGGGGCACACTCACGTGCACAAACATGCACCAAAAAGCAGCTGATGCCGGCCTGGGTATGTGAACAAAGCAAGGAGAAGCTCAGTAACAAACCCACACAGACGGAGAGCAAGTAGGGAAGCACCAATACCGATACTAATATCGGGCCTATACTGACTCAAATAGCTGGATCAGGTATCAGTGACAAGGGGGCCAATCTATTCTAATCTATATTTCTATACTATAGACATTATGCACTGGAATTTCAATTCCATACACCAAATAAATCTTCAAAATGAACAATTCTGCTGCTATATAAATGCTCTGAATGTGTAATTTAGCACCTTTAATTTACTTATCAGCAGAAAGCAATGCAGAAAACATTCAGGTAGTCATTCAGATAAATAACAAGACAGACATATAACTGGAAAATCAGTTATTTGAATGTAAATTAGTTATTGAATATTAAATAATTTCAATATTTTTCTAAATGTCAATTGAAAGTCCAACCTCAATAGATTGAATGAGGGATTTGAAAGGATTGATATTGAATTGTGTTTTACTTAACCTGTTTTGAATGTTATTTCATCTCTTTATTCCAACAAGAGCACAGCCATAAACACACAGTGCTACGTTTTTCCCGCTTCAGTCAGAGTGGCATCTCTTAATTTGCGGTCAGTCAGCTGCTGTCACAATATTGAAAATCAAAGTTTAGTTTGTGGGAAAACCGACATAGGAAACTAGTTAATCCTTTTCATCTCATCGGTTGGTTCTCGCCATCATTCCAACACTTGAGGCATTTCCTGACTGTGCTGCCCCTCTCAGTGTGGGTGCAATCTTTATTTCACAGCAGCTGCTTTTGAGAAAAACAATTTTTCCAGAGCTGCTTTAGCAACAACTTTTGTTATTGAGTCTTAAAACATGCAGAAAAGTACAAGTAGCAGTATTGTCTCGTACGCAGAAATATCAAAGTATGATTTGGTGTCAGCTTTTCTGTCGTTTCCTGGCTGTTACTTAGAGGCTCAGCCCATGATAACCTGGTGAGGTCATTTTCGTCAAATAGTCCTTTTTTCTGTGGATGCCAGTGGTAATTCCATTCAGCCAGCATCCAGGCTCTAAAAATATAAGCTATACCTTCAGGTATAGGAGGATGACCTGGTCCTGAGGTTAAATAGTCTATTTTACTTAGGAAAGTTCTTAACTTTTCATGGCATGATAAGAGCTGCTCAAATATATAATAGTTCCCAAGATTTTGGGTTATTTCATGTCTATTTTTTCGGACTTATCACAGGTTGCATATATTACCATGATGCAACCACAGAATTATATGAATCTTTTTATTCAACAAAAATTGCAATGATTAAGGACAGTCTGGTAATCATCTCACAAGCCCTCAAATGTATTTTATGACACCTTGGGGATCGCAGACCACCTGGTTGGAAACCACTGCTAGTACGACAAGCTCTTTATTTTTACAAAGACCCACTGACTCTCTGTCTGTCTGTTCATGTTAACTTATAGAAGAAATGCTCACATGCACACAACTGATAGCTGCTACTGTCTAAAAATACCACAATATACAAAGGAATACTGGAAGAGCCCCATAAAACATGTCGTTCTCTCTGTATAAAAATAGTGTTTCAGTAAATGCAACAGCTGGCTTTCTTCTCTTTATGATTTCCTCACTGCAGACGTTATGTTTGCTTAGAAGGATTGGTCTACTGAGAAATGTATCTCCAACTTTATTCTATTCAAAAATCAATAAAGCATTTAAGTCTAGGCTTCAGGAAAATCATGAAGGGGAATTTATCACAATCAACATTTTATAGAATGAGCGAAGGAATCGGCAGATTCATCGATAATGAAAATGATGGGTTACAGCTCTAACGTGATTCACTGAGTAAGTATTTTTGCTTTGATCGTTACCGCTTCTCAGATGTGAGGATTTGCTGCTTTTCTTTGATTCATTTGACTGAATATCTGAATATCGACTGTTGGTCGAACAAAACAAGCCGTCAAAATTGTAAGGCTCCTTGGGTTCTTCCACATTGCATTCTCTCTATATGGACCAAACGATTAATCAATTAGTTGAGAAAATAATGAGCAGATCAATCAATGATGAAATATGTAAATAAACCGTTAGTCGTTTATTTAGCTCATTGTTGCAGTAATTAGCAGACCTCCTACATTTACTTAACCAGAGGGATCCTGAGGGATTTCCAACATGATCACACATAATTAGATGATCGAACTGCTCTGAGTTCCCTTGAGCCCCCTGGGCGCCACAGACCTCAGGGTGGAACGTCAATAGGCTACATATAATAGCTTTTGTTAGGGCGAACTGGTCTGAGGGTGAAAAAGTATGTTTTTAGAGACCCTGGAGAGGAAAAAAGGATCCTTCTTGTAGCGTGTTCAGAAAGTCTATAACATCTATACACTCTTTGTCACTGTACCTAGCTATAAATAAGGATGTGCATATAAGCTTTGGTTTCAGTGATACATCTCTAATACTGATCCTTCAGTTTGTCAGCTTGGTTAAGAGCCAATGAGCAGAACAATGGATTATAGAGAGATCTTAGCCAGTGGGACTTTAACTTTAATTCGCCCAGCTTCACTTAATATACTCTTTCCAAAATACACAGTTTGGAAATGTGACATCAAGGGCCAACTCACAGTATGTGCAACCACAGTAACCAAGACAGCTTGTTGTTTATCCGCTTGTTGTTAGCCCTGGGCAACATAACCCCTCAAACCGTCCAAAACACTCTGCAGAAACACGCACAAAGCCGCCTGCTGTACTGAGAGAGGACGCTGACAAGCTGACAAACACTGATTTGTATTTCTTTTTTTCTTTTTTTTTTTTTTTACTTGCATGCTTTGGGCATTCCATGATGGTCCTACCAGGATACATTAACAAGAATGCCCCCATGTGCTATGCAGCCTAGAAGAATAGGCCACTTTGTCTCACAGTTAAGCTGCTAACGGGCACTGTGGAACTTGCAGACGACAACTGTGATGCTAATGTGAGCGGGCTACATCAGAGCGACCTGTGGTCTTTTCCGCCTATCATGTACTCTCGTGCTATTCTGCAGCAATGTGGCAAATTACCAGTGGAACACAAACCCGGTGTCATTAAATGATAATTGTTGTGTTAAAATGAACATAAAAGCTAAAAAGTCGGTCTTTACTGTGTGGTTTGCTGTTTTATACGCTCATAATACACAGCTGTAATAATTGGAAAGCTAACAATGAATTACTGTGACTCATTTCACATATTAGGCAATATTGGCAAACATAGACAGCAATGCACGTAAGGTTATACTGCATGTTTAATGTCATAATTACACTGCACAATACACACTCAAATTATTGTTTTTTACCCGATAAAAGGTACAGCGTCATTCTTTTAGATTAAAGATTACAAAGTGTGCATTTTTACCGAACGTCCTGACGCGTTAACTCAAAAAATCCACCGAAATGAGATAACTGTGCAGCATCTTTGTATACTATCTGATAGTCACGAGCTGCACCACTTGAGTAATCCAAAAGAAACGTACATTTTGTACAGGGTTGAACAGTACTTTGTTCTCTTCGTGGCACAATAAATCCTTTGAAAGAGAAATCATTTTTTAACCCTTTTAGGAAGTTATCCTACAAACATTTCAAAGCAGTCATTTTTCCCTCTTAATGGAATGAAGGCAGTGGGGGCTAATTACGAGCATTCTTCACTGAATTAGCGTTCGGTGTGTGGTAAGGCTGTGCTCGCCTTTGTCTTGATCCCTAAACTGATCCCTTACTTATTCCCCAGAAGGTCAGAGGTCACTTGGTTAATTAAGGGTCCAATCGGTCTTTAGATAAACTCATCTGAGCTTAATGTTTGCACTTTTTGAGGTCCAGCAGCTCTGCCTGGTACCCCTGAGCTTTTTGTGGACTCTGCTAATCTACCCACAGACAGGTGAGTAGGTTAACCCCGCTCAACAGCGCCAAGCTGGAACGGTTCTTTTCATTTGAGGACTTCAGTCAATGAAGAATGTCTGTAAGCTCTCGCCAAAGTGGAGAAATTACTCTAACTTGATGTATTGTACACAGGGCGAGGGTTCGGGGTGGGGGGGGGGTGCCCTAAACCTCTCAAAGAGCTGCAGATTATGGGGAGTAAGTAATGTTTATGCTGCTTGTTTTCAATGGATATACTGTATTTGTCAGTGGCTGCTGGCCCATGCCACACACATCCAGGGTGATGAAAGTGTGGCTGAGCAAGTAACCATGAAATCTCTGATTGTGTTGTGGATGGATTTAGATCAACAGAGATTACTCAATAGCCCCCAGTATATCTCTACTTTCTACTACAGCTAATGTGACGTTATGTAATTAAAACTTTCAGCTAACCTTTAATCAAAGCTCCTTTTCCCCCCATTCAGGGTTCTAAACCACCACTTCTGATTTTAAGTCTGTAGATATCATCCTCTTGGAAATTTAAATGCACAAACACAATTATATATTTGTTCAAAGATTCCTTAAAGTGTCGCATGTTCTTTTAAAATGAAAGACTTGCAGCCGTGACTGCACAGCCTTTCAAAGATCAACGTAGTGACAAAAACACATGGAAATTGAGGACAAAACCCAAAGCTTAATTTGTGTCTCTCAGAGAAGTAGAAAACCTAAAACACATGGAAAGGTTGATACGTAGACACAGGAGTACGCAGGTATGTGTGTGTCCTCATGACAAGCTCCACAAACATTTCAACTTCGCAATGATGTAAAAACAAAGAACTCCAAAAGAGTACAAACGAATGAAACAAATGAAGGGACTCGCGAAACGCTTTGTAGGAACACCAAAGAAAAACAAAAAAAAAATCCTGAAAATCTTTCAAAATCACAATCGCATACCACGTTTTTTAAACCTCTAATCACCTAATTAAGCAAAAAAGAATAGATGTGACCAAAAAATAGAAATAACACTGAAATATTCACCGCCACACAACACAGCAAAACACATTTCTATTGATATTTCAAAATAAAAGGCTAACTCTGAAAACACAAACTTACCAAACTGCCTTGTTAAAATGATCCCTCAAACAAAACGGTCTCCACTCGTACAGAAAATCTTAACAGTCTCCTGTCCCTCGGACTGCCAGGGAATCAAAGCTATGAAAAGATGTGAATCTAGCTGAGCAAATAGGATTAAAGATGGCTAAATCCGAATGGCTGGAAGCACAGCATGCATTAAAGAGGAATTCTCTCAGGAAAGATAATCCCCATATACGCATTTTAACACACTTCACTCACTCCTCTGTTTTTTTTTTTTTTTTTACACAGTCATAGTAAAACCACGATTGCCTGACTGTCCACACACACACACACACACACACACACGAGCCAATACAATCTATAAATACAGCGCTGCCTGGACCATTCAGACTGCAACCATGACACATGCATCTTCTAATTCCAGGGGTGGAAACTTTATACATATACTGTAAAAATGTTGACAGCCTCATTATACATGCTGCCATATATCCTCTTCTTCTTCTACAATCACAAACTACAACCACGGTTGTTTACCTTGAGCACCTCCATTGGCACCTGGGATGCAGGCGGGACACTGACATTGATGGCAGGGGTCTGGCCCGCCGTGGTTTGTGGGTACTGGGAAGCTCGTTGTCTCTGGTGCTCCCGGCGCTCCTGCTCCTGAAGCTGCTCCCGCATCAGCTGCTGCCGCAACAGGATGCGCGATGTCATGGCCGAGGAGCTCAGCGGGGGCTTGGAGGAGCCGTGCTGGTCCGACGGGCCGCTGCAGAGGGGAGAAAGAAAGATGACAGATAAATGAGCAGAGACGGCGAGAGATGTGAAGATGGCGAGGGAAAGCCGGGGGGAAGGGGATCGGGGCGAAGAGAGGCGAGAAGACGGAGTGATAACAGAGAGAGGGCAGAGAGAGGTCAGACGGGGAAGGAGAGGTCAAGCAAAAGAGACGAGAGAGGAGAAAGATCAGAAAGGTAGAAGAAGATGAAGGGAAAGCAGATGGAATAAAAGGTTAATATGCAGATGACTGAAGGGGCAGAGATGAAAAGGAAATCTAAACTGTAGAGCTGCAACAATTAGTCGATTCATTGGTTCTAAAAGAAAATTATTTAGATCATCTGTGAATTGTTTGTCACTTTTTTATCTTCTTAAATGTGAGGATTTGCGTAGCTTTTCTTTGTCAGCTATATAATTGTAAATGAAAGATGTTTTGGGGTTTTGGACTGTTGGACGTAGAAAACAAGCAATATGAAGACGTAGCATTGGGCTCTAGGAAATTGTGATTTATATTTTTTTTACTATCTTTTGACTGATAAATAAGTTGTAAGCCATAGGCCTATACTTCAAAAGTAACTTACAAAATGTTTGAAAACACAGCCCTACTTGTGCAGAAGCCTATATGCACATGCTGATGGTTGTTACATTTATTTGCTTATGTATATCTACCGCGCTGGTCATTTTGGTGCTTAATCTGTTTAGTATTAACGGGGAAATACTGTTTCTGTGTCTAAATGTATTAACCAGCAAACACTGTTGCAATTCTTAGAGAAGGTCATAGTTCCAAGAATTTTCTTGGAATTTCACCACATAGGAGCAACTCTTTGTAGTGGGACGCTTAATGAGTACGGCCTCTGTTTTTCTGCAATTGTTTAATCTTATAGAGGAAATAAATACTCCAAATGAAACCACTTCAGGGTCAGAGCATCAATACAACTTCAAACAGCTGAACGATCTGATTCTGATGGTTTTGGAGAGCATCGAGCTTCCAGCTGCGCTCGCAAAGGTTTTTTACACTAACAGAATTAAACACAGCAGAAAAGAGGAACAGTTTTCATGAAAAGGGTTGCTTCAGTTTTCCCACTCTCTTAAATTTAGACGGCTGCTCCCCAGACACAGCCGGCAGTCCTAAAATAGAGAGACTCTGCTGAAGCAGAAGTTGTCTGGATGAAACCTTCATCGAGTGAGTGATCCTTTTGACCAAACGCAGCAAAACGTCTGGCCAATCCAGCTGTGCAGTAATCGCACTAATTAGCCAGTGGAGTCAAACACTGCTTCGGTCTACAGCGTTTTCAGTGGGTGTTGAGCCCTCAACATACCATAATTCTCTCCCCAGTACTGCATATAATCTCATTGTCTGATACCACACCCACTGAACCCTGCACAAGAGCAGAAACACTGTATGGTCTACGGTAAAACGTAAAAAAACACATTTTCCACAGTCACATAAGATTATGCCCAGAACTGTCTCATTCATTTCTGAAGACAATGCTGATGCAGATACAGTGATTATAAGTAGATCCAATGAATTGCAGCAGAACAAAGACTGTAGTTTGGTCTCTGAAAGCTCTGCAGCAGTTTGTTACTTTGTACTTCGTGCATAATTCCTTTGTCTGTGTGACTGCGGGTGATTGCATTTACTTTAATCCTTTGACGTTTCAAACAAAAGTCACTGGATCTCATGTGAAAAACGTTTTTTTTTTTACCCATTTCTAAATCCTTTGATTTTTTTTTTTGTTTGTGTGCTTGAATTTTAAGACACTAGTTTCATTTCCAGCTAGAATAAACTGAAGTGAATGTCTTTAAAAATCAGAAATGTGAAAATACAGATTGCATTACCATACATATATTTAAATAGATGCTGAGCAGCTTTATGATCTTTAATTACTTGTTAAAAAGTACAGTTTTGTGGTACCTAGTTTTACATCCGACTTTGGTTTCACCAACAAAAGTAGTGAAAAAGAACAAGTTAGCAAACAATGCAATGTTTACACACCTCCCATGCCCCTCAGTCTTACCGTTTCAGTGTTATTAGTTTTGGCAATGAGTCTTCTGATTAAAACTTCACACCCTCGCAGGCAATCAGAGCGAAAAAACAGCTTTTGAAGGTGTTGCAGTGCTTCCATGCACAAGAGAGGAAACCACAGAAACACACCCGTTTGTCTTTCACCCTATGGACCCCGATGTCTCTGACATTCAGATTGAACTGCTTTAGTTTAAATATACATTTACTGTGTATTTAACACATGTTTATACAACATGTTTAAATTAAGTACAAACCCAGGAGAGCATCTTTATTAGCGGCACCTTGTCCTGTACATTATTTTATACACATTTACCTTCACCTTGACTTTAGAAAAACATTTAAATAATTATATTAAATTAAGTGGAAATTGTAATGGGAAAACAATACTGTGTTGTGAGGCTTTAGAAGTCAGACTTAATGTATGTCAAGTAATGCTAGCAGGTCTGTGAGGCAGAGCTGAGTTTTGAGCTCAATGCTGAGGGACACATTTATATAGTTATAATATAAACTTGTCGGTGCTCTCTGGTGGACAAAATATGTACCGACGACTCTGTTTCTAAATTAACCTTCTTTCTTCATTCTTGTTGTTATCAGCCAACATATAATCAATATCAATATATCTGTGATGAGCATATATCAGCCAATAAAATGCTCCATGTCGCCGGATTGGTCAGGCTGTTCTTGACATAATTTCAAAATAAGAAGAGTTTACACTTGAATGATTACAGGAAGTTAATTCCAAAATGTTTCCAAATAGATTAAAATGGTTGAGAGTAGAGATGGACAGAGAGTTGTAGCACTTCATGATTCTCTATTATACATTCCTGATTATCAGATTGACTTGTGTGTGTTTGTGTGCGTGACCAGAAGCCTCTCTACAAAGCAAAGCCCCCCACCCCTCTCTGTTTCTTCCTGTCAACTGGTTGGTGGCTCTTAGCCAAACAGACCACTGAAACACATAAAAGCTCTTTTGTCCTTTTTAACCTTTTCCCTCGTGTGTGTGTGTGTGTGTGTGTGCACACCTCCTCTCATGTTTGTGTGTATCTCAAAGACAAAAAAAACAAAAAAAAACACAATGGTTGTACAGTGCTGAAGAGCCCCACCCACCCAGCTCATGATTCCTCTGATTCTGCTCACTACGCTACTCCATCATACTCCATCATTAGTCAAATAGTCAGAGCTGAGTCTCTGATGATTTATATTGGTGGACAGCAATGAAGTGAGAGATAGTAGAAGACCAGAGAGAGAAATGTTCAGTGCAGCAACAGAAGCCTGATCAGAGTCAAAGCACTGAGCTGTTAAAAGGAAAGTAATGTGCAGAACAGATACTACTGCTGGTATTACTTATAGTGCTGGAGCTAATAGCTCTGCCTAATGGACAATAATGGTATAACAACAACCTTATCTTAAAACGAATGGCACTCCATTAGAACTCAATTATTTTACTGTTACAAACAAACATCTTCAAACTCTCTTCGCGATTATCTATTTAGAAAGGTGAGTGTTATTCGTCAAAGTGACACAAAAAATTTCAAATTGCTTACTTCTTAGTTAAAAATCAATAACCAACTGCATTCAAGTCTATGCTTGTTTGAAAAACAACTAAATAGGAACATGTTTTGTTCTGTGCACACACTGTCCTTCATGTGTACATATGGCGATGTACACACACCAATACACTCCAAAATCATGCCTTAAAATCATGCCAGCATGCTGAGGCGCCATACTCACAAACAGTCAAATGAGCAGGGTCTGTACACTTGCACTCCTACAGCCTCCATATTTGTTTGGTTTTTCCTGAAGGTGCACCACCCGCCCTTGGAGAGAAATGAAAGTCATGCCGGTGGTGCAGCGCGGAAAGTGTGTCAGAGGGGGGAGGCTCGGGGGCCCGGCCTGGAATCTCCAATCGCCACACAGAGTCCCCGGTAGAGGACCAGCCCCGTCCAGGGCTACAGCAGAGCAGGGGAGAGGGCGAGCGCCCACTGGTAGCACACTGCCCATCAACAGGCTGCTTTTAAACCACACGGACACTGTTTCGCTTGGAGACATGTGTCGTCACTGTTCAGCGGAACGGCCTGCAGCTGCAGCTTTTAGTCACTGCATGTGTCTCCAACCTGTCAATGTTTCGTGAGCTTAAGACAGTGCTGTTTTCGTTTTTGTCACAATGCATTTCTCAGATAATACCATTGTTTTTTGAATTTGATTTCTTGGACGCTTGAGCTTCACTGTGCAGAATGACGTTTGTGCAGAGTTTGATGCCAGAAGGCCATTTCTACAGTTATCTGCTGGAGGGGGGAAGGTTTCTCTTTGCTTGCCTCAAAGTGTGATTGGTGTGATCTCAAATAGTTTGTTAGCCAATCATGGTCCAGTATGCCGCATCTTGGACGCTTTACGTACCCCACTAACATCACGTATACGCTTGTTACATGCATAGTGTCTTCAAAAAAAAAAAGAAGACGTTAGGTTTAGGGCATCAAAATCACTTAGTTTGGTTCAGGAAAAGAGGGTGGTTGACGTTAATTTCACTAACTATCGAGTCACGTGACTAACGACTGAATAACAAAATATTAACATTAACTTTTGGTTACGCACGGGACACGAACAGCGTCCTGTTTTTTACATTGGAGTTAGTCGCACAAGCGCTAAACTGTGTCTTCGTACATCAGTGTCAGGCGCCGAGGAGTACTGACCAAGCTGCAGTATTTGAAGTATTGGGAGTAAGAACACAATTGTGATGTGGAAAATTGAAGCCTCCAGTCTCCAATCACTGCGGATGGACTTTTCAGCGAAGTGTGATATATATATATATATATAGTGTCCATTAGAGCTGCAACAATTAGTCCATCAATCAGAAAACCGACAGAAAATGAATCAGCAACTACTTTGATAATCAATGTGCTGCTTAGTAATTTTTTAAAGCTAAAAATCCAAATATTTGCTGGTTCCAGCATCTCAAATGTGCAGGATTTGAGTGTTAAGTAGCACACTGACTATAAACAAGCACACATGGATACTTTCAGCATAATACTGATAATATCAAACAAAGTATAAATATAACAGTATAAAAACAACTTGAAAACCCGGTGTGCACACCGTTATTGATTCAAATATCTTCAAATTACATTTCTATATCTCAGAAATCATAACCCAATTAATAAAAGAAACAACCACTGAAATCCAGACATAAAACATAATTTAAGTCCGTAATCATTCTCCCACCAGGGACTGCTCTTTATAGCTAACTGCACTCTGACATATAATTCTGTAATTGTGTATTGGGGGGGGGGGGGGGGAAAGTGGAAATACAAAATGACTTGTTGGACTGTAGCCAAAACAAAAACCACTGCAAAAATACCATCCTGCAAAAAAGTTGCTTGTGATGATCCCGTCCCCTTTTGTGTCTCTCTACCAGACTGCAGGTGCCTCGTTCACGGAGCAGAACAAGCCGAGAACACAACCTCTCAGCTGGAACACAGCGCAGTGATTCTGACCCTACTACGACAGTACGTTGATCCGCTCGCACTCCCCTGCTGATCACAACACCCCAGCGTGCTGCAGCTGGCATCAACCCCCCCCAGGAGATAGTTACAAGCAGGCAAATCTATGATAATGGGAAGCATGAGTATGAAAGTGGTAAGGCCATCAATTATGTAGGCTTTGCAACCAGTGGGAGGTGAGAGAGCGAGAGGCAGAGAGGAGAAAACAACTGTACAGACAACTACAACAGGGTAAATAGTGTAACTGAGTAAACTTCTTTTGGGTACAGGCTCAGTATTTTTGCATAGTTATTTATGTTTGGAAAAAACAGCCAACATCACAAAAGCAACGCAGTTGTCGACAAATTATATACTTCTCACTTGATTTAAGTATAAGTAAACATACTCAGTAAACATTGTGAACATGAGGTCTCAATCGCTATAGTTGCAAGTCCTAAATGCCAAAAGGCCAATCTCGATGCTTCAAAACGGCGTCCACTAACCAATGTGTCACAGTGACTATGTGTCCACTTCTTATCTACTGTCTGGACAAACAGGACATTAGAGGAAATCTTGGACTTTAGGAACATTTTAAAATAACATATAATAGGTACATATTCAAAATATTGTATTCCCCTATTGCCTTGCTGAAACAGCGCCGCTAGAGAGATTCATAGCTTCAGCAAGACGAAGACAAAACAGGGTTCACTGTTAAAGCATCCAAAAAGATAATTGGGTTCAATCCAGGAAGCCAGAACTGGCTGGGATAGCTTGAACTTGCCGGGTCTTATTTTTGTAATTTCGTTAAGTGTCCTTCATAATTCCCTCTTCAGCAGGATGACCTTCGCTAGCTCCTGCTCCTCTCTCCTCCCTCTGTGCTTCAACAAAAAGAAAACAGAGCATCCAAGGACAGACGGGCGGAGGGTTTCGTACGGTTTCCTACGGCAGACTGAGTGAGCCTGTGAGGTGTTCAGGTTCATGTAAACAAGGATGTTCTACTAACAAAACAAAGCCGCTTTTTCAAGCATCTCTTAAGGCTGATTTGCCTTTGAATGTGACAACCAACACATTCTCACTTTATAAAGGAAACCATTCATATCTCGACATGACTCAGCCCTAATATTTCACGCACAATAACCATGAATAAAGAAAGGTATGTAACTGAGCGTGATATTTCTTGCCCTTTTGCAAATATGACCAAAGTACATCTGAAATGGTTTTAAAGAGTTTATAAATCAGATGGTTTAATACTAAAAGCCTTTTGAAGGTTGAACCTCTGGGGTCCTCTATTCTCGTTACTCATGCTTTTACTTGTAAAGTTTCCTGTAGCTAACACTGGTCAGGTGGTCTGCTGCTCCCGGATCACAGGTGTAAGTGGGCGTGGCCTGCATTACAAAGGAGAATTGTTTGGCATGGGTAGGAGGAGGAATGCTGTTGGAGGTATAGACAGAGGAGTTGTGTGAGATCCTGGCTGCCTACAAAAGAGATGGATAATGTAATTCAGCTCTCATTGTTATGATGGTTCTTCATCCATGTGAAGAAAAAAGGAATCCTGCGAGATGTGATGACGAAAAACAATCGAGCAGAGGACTGGAGACCAACTCCAGGCCGGACTACTTATTCCCAGTTCTACGTCCGGTGAGTTTGATTCTTTTTTAATGTCCACTCTCCCTTGAAATGCAAGAATCAGAACAGAACTGCATTTTATTTTGAAGGGAGAAGCTGACAGTGGAGGACATGCAGAGCTACAAGCTCTCTTTTCACTCAGAAAGCAACGGTCAATGTACTCGTATAATCATATCGACATTTTAGAGCTGAAACAATTCGTCAACTAATGTGAGGATTTGCTGCTTATCTTCATTGACATAACTGGGTTCTGGTTAGTCAAAACAAGCAATATGTTGACATCACATTGGGCTCTGCTATATTTTGCTCTGCATACAGTATCTCACTATTTTCTGCCACTCCATGGACCAATTCCAATAGATGAATTGAGAACGATAGTTAGCTACAGCAATGCAGTATGTAGCATCAGGCAGGATGTGACCTAGGAAGTGATGTTTTCAGTGTTGTTGCAGTCCCTACTGGTCACCAACAGAGGCTGACAAATATCACATTATCTCTAATAAATCTATTAATTAAAAAAAAAAAAAGGTTTTTAAAGATTTTATAAAGTAGAAATCTACACATGTGCTTCAAAAAGTCACAGGAGAGGTTAAGACGCAGCAAAGCGATCATGGCATGCAGAACAAGTCATTCCTGCAGCCACAGCACCTGTCTGTGTCGTTAAACTCTTTCCTACGCTTCCCCCTCAGGCATCTCTTTACGGGATTCCTCACAGGACCGGGCTGTTCCCAGAACCAATCCTTCACAACCCTCAACCTGACTCAGCTTTCTGTCACTGGCAGATTTAACTGTAATTATTTTCTATTGCCAATTTCACAAGTTTATAGCCAATCTGCCATTTTTCAATATATCTCTCTCTCTTTTTTTTTTTTTTTTTTTTTTTTTTTACAAATGATGAGTCTTGTACCATGCGAGCCAAACTGAAATATGACTGAGTATTTAAACTCAATACTCTGTAAATACTGACCGAGTTGCATCTATAGCAGCCTGTCTAGTATTGAAAGTATCGGTCCTGTTTGTCTTTTCAAACTGAATATATTTTAGGCAAAGCTCGGCATTAAACGTTATTACACTTCAAAGGTTTGGCTTGGTTGACATTTTTAAAAGGTTACTGTAGAAATACAAGTAAAGTAAAGAGTCTCTTTTTGATGCAAAAACTCTTTTTTTACAAAAATTTTGTAAAATATCAAACTTCTGCCACAATTTACCTTTAGCATTGGAAAGCATAACTAAGTCTTTCAGCCTCAATTGGACTCTGCGTGCCAAGTGAGCCTGCAAGTAATGATCCCCCAACTCTCAGTTTCAGATATAACACATCCAGTGCTAAATTTACATATCTTATTTACACTGCATAGACTATTTTCACCATCTGCCTCACGTCTATGTTGGGCACAAAACGTCTGGCACTTCGCCTGCAGCAGTCACTGTCAAAGTATTAAAGAGACAGCAAAACATATTATTGAAAGGTAAAAATTACATTTTGTCACACTTCATATTTTAAATTTAAAAACAGCGGGGGGGGGGGACGTGACAAGACACCGCACACCACAAGAATCGATCAAACTAATTATACCCGTTTTGTGCAACAATGTCTCAAACCAACAAAGGCATTGTGACTATTATTATGTCGAATCATCCTCATGTGATGGGAAGAGGAAGTGGGATTCGTTCAATCAAAACAACTGTTCAGAAGACTTCACATATTCCAATGGAAATGGCATGAAATGAAATAATCAGCGATACTTTGTTTTTACTGAAACTGGCTGGCAGTGCTGCTCTGCCAGCAACAACTCAGCTCGATTCAGCCCCTTGAATGTGCAGCAGTATAATGACATTTCACTAATGACGAAATTAGTTTAAAATGCAGAACTGGGTTAAAGGTTAGGACTGTGCAAGATGACAACTTATTTTTTCTCTCTCTCCCTGAACTGGTGTTCTTGCTGAAATCTGGAAAAATAAGATATAAACTTCCATTCAACAACAAAATGTCCAGAGGGGGAAAAAAATAAAGCCGGAGTCGACCAAACGTCTGCAATAAGAGCTCTGTCTGAACACAGTGGTGTACTGTCCTCTGTATGTCTCGACCTGACAATGAAGCCATGTATTACTACCGCTGAACAACATAACAGAGACGCAAAAACACAAAATACAGACACCGTTATGTTAATAGATGGCATCGTCATCACCGTCGTCAGAATCACAGAGGCAAAGTGTTGAGTTTCACAACTTCCCAGTCTGATCACAGCTGAAAAGCGTTGCATAATGTCTTAAAATCTCCCAAAACAGGGGGTCATGTTTCTTTGTCATAACTAAATTAGTCACTAACTCAAAATATTCTGGTACTTATCATTATTTGGCACGCATTTTGTAAAAGGCATCCATTAACTGCTGATGTTACGGGTCTCAGCGACTAAGAAGAGCACCGGATTAGTTATCTTTTCCTTGAAGGAAGAAGTTTGACATTTTTGTTAGACGAGAAGATTGATACCACTCACATCTGTCCATTTAATATGAAGCTGCAGCTGGTTAGCTTAGCTTAGCATAAATGCTGGAGATGGGGGGACACAGCTAGCCTGGCTCTGTCCAAAGGTATGTCACCTCTGATGCTCTATAGTTAACACCTTAAACTTTGTTTAATTTGTACAAAAACTGAAGTGTAAAAAATGAAGTGGTGGTTTTAATGGTCATCACTATGAGGTGCTGGAAGGCAATTTTGATACCAGGCTAGCAGTTTCCCCCCATTTTTAGTCTTTATGCTAAGCTAAGCTAATTGCCTCCTGGCTCCAGCTTCATATTCAACATACAGACATGAGAGTGGTATCAAACTTCTTATTTAACTCTCTGCAAGAATAAGCGCATTTCCCAAAATGCCAAACTGTTCCTTCAATCCATTCCTAAAATCCCAGGACAGATTATTAGTAATTTGACTGCACTAATGTCATCTGCACATCACATCAAACGGATGCAGCAGACAGCACACTCACTGTGCAGGGCTTCCAGGAAAAGGGTGAAAGGTCAAATCAGACCATATAGACCTGACTCAGCTC